ATGAGCACTTAATGATGTCTAAAGAATGCGAAATATACGTCGAGGTTTAATAAAATATTTTAAAAAAAAAAATGTTTCACCAAGGTTTTCCAGATAAATCTGTCTTTAACAAGGGTTTTAAATTGTTTATTCGACTTTATTAAGCGGTTTAAAAGATAACCGAATAAAAACAGCAAAAAAAAACAATTTTTTGCCTTGTAGACAAAATCAGTGTAACTGGATTAGCTGATAATACAACATTTTGGATGTAACTGACGATTAAAATATGAAATGGTTTTTTAAGCTTACTTTCGATATCCAGAATGTTTTCTTTTAATAATAATGTTTAATTAAAAATCACCTATTTTACTAAGCAATTGCACAGATCTAGGCGGGTTTAAATGTTCATATTCGAGAGTATAGCTGGTTGCATTTACTTATATCATAATGATATGTTATAACTACTACATTTTGAATAAATTGATATTTTTCAAATCTCCTTAACTCTGCCTGTCAAAACAGTGCCCAGGGGCTCCATGAAGGCTCAGGACAGCGATGAGTAAAAAGAAAAAATGTAAATTTAAACTTCAAAGTAATTTTGTATTGATGATACTCGGTGGGTTATGTTATTCGTGATCAAGAAAATAAATAATAATCTTGAATATATATCTATAGATGAAACTGTTTTAACTAAATTATTCAATTTTTTAATACGTGCTCTTTCGTTTCTCTTATTCAATTTAATTTTAAATGAACTTTCCTTATTTGTTTAACCTTCCAGGCATTGGGATAGCATTACAAGTTTAAATTTCACCTAGCATTTTCGTCATTACATCACCGTTTTTTTTAATTCGAAAGTGATCGGGAAGATAATTGGAAAATAGGAGATCATTTGCATTTTCCGAGCCGCTTTATTGAACTTGACAAATTAAACTTCCTTACTTGTTTGATTAAACTTTACCTTTTGTTTATTCACGTCATCGTCAGTAAAAAAATAAAAAAATTTAAAAACGCAATCGAAAAAAGCGTTTTTTTTTTAACCAACTTACAGATGAATAAGCCCTTGGAATCGTTGGCGCCCTTGGGATACTGGATTGCTAACGATTGCAATTGGAAGGCGTTGGTGTAGCTAGGGAGTTTTCCGACCAGTTGATCAATTTCGGTAATCCGATTAGAAATTAGAAATCAACTGACGAACTAACTAAGCATTTTCTTGTTAACGTTATTTTAAATTTCTACTTAATTAAGTTCAGTCTTCGAATTATCGACATTACTGAACTGGCAGTTAAAGACTAAGCTTAAGAGAAAAGGCCATTGTAGGAAAAATAAGAAATTCATAGAAACACACAAAAATTTCTGATTTCTTTGATGTATCTATTGGATTTATTCTGGCATTTTAATTTTGTGGTTGCAATTCAAACCAAAATTAATGCATAAAGCATTTTTTTTTTCTATATTACATATACATTTGTCTAAATCCCGTATTTAAATATTTCTGGTAACACTTTATACAGGGTGTCCCAAGCAAGTGGGTTTCTTCAATAACTGCTTTATAGTTAAAGATATCAAAAAAAGTTTCTTATAAAAGTGCTGCCANTAGTCAAAGAACATACCTTTTTGAGCATTATTACTTTTACACAGATATTAACTTATTAATTGTGTAATTATTTGACCGCCACCCTGGAAAAACTACATAATTTAATAGTAAAAGTCAGGAATCTAACTTAAATCTAACACATACTATCTATGAATAGTTTCGACAGTACAATTTATTAAAATTTTGGGAGTATGGTAATCCGAAATGAAATTGTTCTGGGTATTTTTTTAACGCAAACTAATAAAATTTAGGTCAGTCAAATGGTGAAGTAAAAGGGATACTTATAGGTAGACATCATCTTTTTTTAATATCTTGAAAAGAGCTGCAATTTTAAAGAGAGGGTGTAGTCAAGTCCTTTGTATAGCAAATTAAACAATCGATAATTTTTACGTATTTATTAATTTTTGATTAAAAAAATACTATAAATCATCGAAAAGGTGTAGCGCCCGGAAATTGTATTTCTTTTTTTTTTGATTATCAAGCAGTTTTGGGTAAAGTACAGGAAAATAAAAGTGGAAAGAACTACAAAGAAAAAAGTGGTCTCACCAAATCTAAGCTTAATTGACCGTGCATCTCCCTAATGGATCGCTGTTTAGCTAATCTCTTTTTCTTTTTGTGTAATGGTTTTGCCTCGATAATCATTTCTTCTAATTCGAAAGTAGGATCACAGTTTAGGTGTCCTTTCTGCAAAGAAAAGAAATCGGACGAGTTATCATTTTCTTCGTTGGGACGTTATTTAGATCGAAAATTTGAATTTCTTTAGCATTCATTTGTTTTAAAAATTATAAAAAACCAACAGAGAAGTATTTCATACCGGCGGCGAAAACCCTGGTTTGTATTTTCTTCGGAAAACATCATCCATGTTAAATTTGCTTAATGCTTTAGTACCTTTTAATTCTCCAATCGAAGATATCCTTTCTCCTGGTCTCATACAGAGTAACTAAAAAAATACAAAAATTTTCCAATGTTCGTGTTCTCGTATCTTGCTACTGATTATTATTTTCCATTACTTACAGAAGGCAGACATTTTTAAGTATGTTAAGAACTTTACTTAAGAGAATATTTCCTGTATGTGCTCTATACATAAGAAATGCTTTTAAAAAATGCATAATTTTGAAGAAAATCTTTAGGAAGTGGCAAACATTGCGTAGTATTGCCTTAAAGGTAATTGATTCGACGCTTTAAAGACTAGGGTTCTATAGAATATAATAAATTACACTTGGAGAAGTTTCACTTTTGTATTAAATCTCGATGTACATACATGAGCACTTAATGATGTCTAAAGAATGCGAAATATACGTCGAGGTTTAATAAAATATTTTAAAAAAAAAAATGTTTCACCAAGGTTTTCCAGATAAATCTGTCTTTAACAAGGGTTTTAAATTGTTTATTCGACTTTATTAAGCGGTTTAAAAGATAACCGAATAAAAACAGCAAAAAAAAACAATTTTTTGCCTTGTAGACAAAATCAGTGTAACTGGATTAGCTGATAATACAACATTTTGGATGTAACTGACGATTAAAATATGAAATGGTTTTTTAAGCTTACTTTCGATATCCAGAATGTTTTCTTTTAATAATAATGTTTAATTAAAAATCACCTATTTTACTAAGCAATTGCACAGATCTAGGCGGGTTTAAATGTTCATATTCGAGAGTATAGCTGGTTGCATTTACTTATATCATAATGATATGTTATAACTACTACATTTTGAATAAATTGATATTTTTCAAATCTCCTTAACTCTGCCTGTCAAAACAGTGCCCAGGGGCTCCATGAAGGCTCAGGACAGCGATGAGTAAAAAGAAAAAATGTAAATTTAAACTTCAAAGTAATTTTGTATTGATGATACTCGGTGGGTTATGTTATTCGTGATCAAGAAAATAAATAATAATCTTGAATATATATCTATAGATGAAACTGTTTTAACTAAATTATTCAATTTTTTAATACGTGCTCTTTCGTTTCTCTTATTCAATTTAATTTTAAATGAACTTTCCTTATTTGTTTAACCTTCCAGGCATTGGGATAGCATTACAAGTTTAAATTTCACCTAGCATTTTCGTCATTACATCACCGTTTTTTTTAATTCGAAAGTGATCGGGAAGATAATTGGAAAATAGGAGATCATTTGCATTTTCCGAGCCGCTTTATTGAACTTGACAAATTAAACTTCCTTACTTGTTTGATTAAACTTTACCTTTTGTTTATTCACGTCATCGTCAGTAAAAAAATAAAAAAATTTAAAAACGCAATCGAAAAAAGCGTTTTTTTTTTTTAACCAACTTACAGATGAATAAGCCCTTGGAATCGTTGGCGCCCTTGGGATACTGGATTGCTAACGATTGCAATTGGAAGGCGTTGGTGTAGCTAGGGAGTTTTCCGACCAGTTGATCAATTTCGGTAATCCGATTAGAAATTAGAAATCAACTGACGAACTAACTAAGCATTTTCTTGTTAACGTTATTTTAAATTTCTACTTAATTAAGTTCAGTCTTCGAATTATCGACATTACTGAACTGGCAGTTAAAGACTAAGCTTAAGAGAAAAGGCCATTGTAGGAAAAATAAGAAATTCATAGAAACACACAAAAATTTCTGATTTCTTTGATGTATCTATTGGATTTATTCTGGCATTTTAATTTTGTGGTTGCAATTCAAACCAAAATTAATGCATAAAGCATTTTTTTTTTCTATATTACATATACATTTGTCTAAATCCCGTATTTAAATATTTCTGGTAACACTTTATACAGGGTGTCCCAAGCAAGTGGGTTTCTTCAATAACTGCTTTATAGTTAAAGATATCAAAAAAAGTTTCTTATAAAAGTGCTGCCATATAAGTATCTTCATATCCTAAAATTATTTTCGATTATACAGAGTGTCCCATTTTTCCTGGAGGCTACCTAACTTCATTTTTTCAAATGGAATGCCCCATTTTTTATTGCATTTTTAAATTCCTCGTTAAATTTAAATACTGTTTTGTTAACCATATATTATGTCTAAAATGCATCAATTTCCATAAAATTCGCATTAAATCAATAAATAGGCGGTTGCTGATGATTTATGGTTAACAAAGTGGTATTTAAATTTAACGAGGAATTCGAAAATGCAATAAAAAATAGGGCATTCCATTTGAAAAAATGAAGTTAGGTAGCCTCCACGAAAAATGGGACACTCTGTATAATCGAAAATAATTTTAGGATATAAAGATACTTATATGGTAGCGCTTTTGTAAGAAACTTTTTTTGATATCTTCAACTATAAAGCAGTTGTTGAAGAAACCCGCTCGCTTGGAACACCCTGTATATTCCCTTTCAGTTTTCATTGTGTAACTTTTAATAAATTAGACCCTTTTTGGTTGTGGATCTGTCAAGAACACACCAGAACATGGTTTTAGTTGAGTTTTCAATTTACAGGAAATGTATTGATTCCGATTCTGTACCGAACAGATTCAATTTGTGTCACTAGGGGTATTTATTGCCCTTGTATAGTAGTGCAGGGCATCTCATATCGAATTACTTCATCACCTGTTTGTATTTGGTAAATGGCTTTACATAATTTCGATTTTCATAAAGCCAACCTGATAAAATTCATAATTACGTACATCAATGTTATGAAAGTTATAATTAGGGTTCTTTAACGAGTGTTTAATGCAGATATATGTTACGTGTGGTTGGAAACGAGGGTTCGAAAATTTAATTATGCTTTAGCAATTATCGCCAATAATAATTGGTGAAAAGAATTAAATTAGAGGTTTAACACAAAATCGAAATACAGTCACTGAAATTTGCTTGTAGTAGCTCCGCTTACAATGACAGTCCGTTTATTACGTCGTAACATTTCACTGTACGTTTTTCTGATGATGTAGGTACGAATAATGCCAAGCACGTAGTCTACGAGAATGTCCAGAAACAATGTAAAAATAGTTAAAAGTAAAATAAAAATAAATACTTTGTCGCTTATTTATTTATTTTTCCCCTGGGGAAAACCTGCGAAGCGAGACGAGATAGTAACAATAGACTTGGCCTTTAATCTATTTAGCTCGTTGTTCTTCAACTGTCCATCTCTAGACGAACTTATAGGTACTTATTGTATGACTGGCTGATTTTAAGGGTACAAGGGCAAAGTAGTATTACGTAAATGTAAGTTAGTATCAGAAATTTCTTATGCTGAAGTGTACCATGTGTCCCATACCTATTTACAAACATTCCTTTTAATCATTGATTACTATACATCTATTAAAAAACCATAATGGCCGACTCGGTGACAATGCGACAACAATTGAAAAAGAATTATGGCCGACAACTGCAACAATTAGAAAAGAATGATGGCCGACAACTGCAACAATGAAAAAAGAATGATGGCCGACACTACGTCATAGCGGCGCAATAAAAATGGCCGGGGTAGGGGGAAGAACTAGTTTCTACATAAAATTAATTTTATGACTTAATTCAATATGGTTCTTTAGTTATTGAATGAAAGACGTGAAACTCTCTCGCTGCTAAATGTGTTTTTTTCTTTATAAAACTAAAATTCAGATTTTCCCCTTTCTATTTCAAATCGTCTAATTTCAATCACAACGAAATTCTAACTTTTATTTGCTTTCTCCTTTGTAATTTCACTTAAAAGGATTTATTCGACTCGCGACATTTGAATAGGAAGCACTTGTGAAAGGCTGGTAGTTTTATTTGTTCAAACCCATACTTCTACGCATTTCATGTATACAAGTGAAAAAACATTCAGTTTTATTCCGGTGATTGTGAGGATTCTTCCATCAGGTACTACATTTAATCATAGCGGAAACAGAAATAAACGTCATAGGTTTTCTTACAAAACGATATAGATACGGTTTATTATAGGGATCAACTGATGAATTATTTAAACAATAGTACAATTCGTCTGTAATGATTATTATGATTTCTTAATTCGAAATTAAAAAAAAAAAAACGTAAAGTCTGAAGAAGAATCATCTAAACTAAGTGGTAGCTTCCGTTTCTTTGAAATAATTTCTCAAGAGAGAGATAGAGACAAGTCTTGTGTAGCTGTGTAAAAAAAAATTAGACTCACTTTAATAGTCACTTCAAAGGATGTTTTAATTACCGACATTTTTCCTTTGATGGGATTTCATTCTTTATAAAACCAGAGGCAACCAAACCGGAATTAGTAGCAGTAATTTAATTTAATTTGTTTCATGAAAATTAATTAAGTTTTTAATAAGGAATAAGTACAGCTCTTGTTAACGAGAAGTGTGTTTTTGAATACACTCTCGAGTGTGTCTAGCGCCAAAATCATAAATAGAAAAAGTTTTTGAAAAGGAAAGGTAGAAACGAATTTAATTTTATAAATGACTGTTATCGTACGTATGTATGTATGTTTGTACGAAATTTTACACACGAAAAACATTAGATAATTGAGAATTTTGCGATATTGTAGGTATATATTTTGATATTGCGTCTATTTCTTAGTTACGTGAACTTACCTTTGAAAGTAAATCGACCATATCGTCGCTCCAATTTTTAGAAAATTCGGGCCCCAAGATAAAGAGATTTCTGACATCTTGTATGCTGGTATTAGAATGAATGTCAAACGGGCGACAACCACGCAATGCTTCATAAGCGACCACGCCTATAAGGAAATTATTTAAGAGGGAAATTCTGGTCCCGCTGCTAATTTGGCACCGCTAATTTGGTGAAAGCCTTTCATGGCCGGAACTGCCTAATAGTTAGGCATATGAAAAATGGTTCTTACGATGTATTTACAATAGAAGAAGCATAATTTTACAGTTTACACTGCAATTTAAAAAGAAATGTATTATTTTTAATTATTACCAACAATATAAGTAGTATTAGGGAAATTAACGAATCAATTTGGTCTTCAGATTTTCTGGTAATGTCAACTTTTGCCTTTATTATTGATACGGTGAATGTGTTCTTTCAATCGTGTATTGATCATCCTTCCACTTTGTCCTATATAGGTATCATTACGTAAATCACAAAATAATTCTTATATGCCACTGTTTCCTCTCATCTCTTTCTTTGGTTTGTCCTTTCCGAGGCTTTGTGTCAGCCCAATCACATATTGTGTCAATACTATTTTTATCGTAATTTAAAAACTTGGAAATTGCACGGTACACTATAGGAACTACGATAAATTTTCCCTAATCGGCGCCATGTTTTTAGGCTCCTCCCATTTGACGGATCCCAATAACTGACCGTTTTATTTGTGCTGTTAAAAAAATATATGTATAGAATGTCTCACAAAAAGTGCATTGTAGTTTTAGTCAGTAAATTTAGTAAAAAATTTATTAGAAGGTAAACATTAAATGTTCATCATTATTAGCTAGACATCTGGGGATGATGTCCTTCGGAATATAATTACAGCTCTGATCGTGCTCCTGTTGATTCTGGAAACAGATTTTATCGTTGAAATTGCATGTACTGCCTGCAATTTACCTTATTAAACGTCAAATTGAAATACCCAAGCATATGTGGGAGTAATTGGAGTACACTGGCAGTGGATCAAAACCAAACTCTGATGTAATTACCTCGCTATTGTTATAAACTCTATGAGCATCCATTTGCATCATGAAAATGAACACATCATATGGGTATTATGCGAAGATTGACGCCCCATTTCAGTCGAAATTTTCGTATGTGGAAAATATATAAAATTTTTATTGGTAGTAATGACCAAAAATACAGTTTGGGAAAACAAGCATTTTGTTGCAAAAACCGTTTGGAATATGTCTAGATTACATTTTGTACTTCTTTCGAATGCATTTTTCAGAACATGTTCACGCATTATTTCAAAATTTGCATCTTCTACTTCATCGTAACAACTATTTGTCATTTGTCGCTGTATTAATCATATAATTTTAATAAGGTCGTCTATGTTAGCTATTAGTCAGTAATTTATCGATACTACCAGACGAGGGTCGCAATTTCGAACTTATTTGTTCCCATTAGCACGCCGTAGACAGTCTCGATAAATTACCTACCAAACCGAAGTTATTCCTTAAAAGGAAGACAACTGCAAGCGGCAAATCGACTGATAAAATTTTTAATTGGTTACCAAAATTACACGGTTTGGTATGAAATAAACTGACCCAATGACCACCAATCGACAGGGTAGGAATACCCCACACACAGTTCCAAAACACAGTCAAATATTTCAGGTGCAATGTACGGTTTGGTACCAGACATAGAAGTAGCAAGTTGGCCTTCTTCTAAAACGGCTGCTATGTTAAAATCTGTCAAATGAATATGTCCTGTAATAAATACAAAAGAAAACAGTTACAATTTTTGGGTATTTTTAGTCTGATTTGCATATAATTAACTAATTTATAGAGGTCCTTGTTAGATCCTTACGGAAAATGGCCCTCTGTCCAATTCTTTGAAACTTTGTATTCTAGTAGTTCTTGACGTGTAGTCTTAATCCATGATCCACAAGTATAGTACATTAACATATCCATATATACTTGAACGTTTTCAATATGTATAATATGTGTAATAGTAATGGATGTCCTTATAGAAAAATGCAACTTTAAGGGATCATATCTCAAAAAGATCAGTTTTTACGACTTCGCGCCCATTGCGACTTTTGATGTATATATATCGAGAACTACTATACAATCCAAAGTTTTAAAGAGTTTGACAAGACTTGCCATTTTATAAAAGGGTCCTTTTTAAAAAAGTTGAATTTTAGGGAGGTATGAGCGGTAGGAAGAATTAATTAATTGCAATTACTGCTTACCTTCTTCATCTAGGAGAATATTGTCTGGCTTCACGTCTCTGAAATTAAACTAAAGTAGTACCCAGCTAACTCTTTAAATTTTAACCTAATTCAGTATTTGACAAAACTAAGAATATCTTCGTTACTAATCATTTAAATATACAGCGTATTGAATACTAATGATTTCTATTTTTTGTTGTAATTATATAAAATGGTATTTATAAAATTTTTCATAAGCTTTATCGTTTCGCAGACGTACGGTCTGTACTTACGTACAATTTCAAATTTATTTGCGGTCAGTGACACCTAATTAATAACAAGTAATGTTGTTAACGATAGGCTACTAAAAACAAAATATTTGCACCCTTAATAATGCGGTCCATATATTAGTAAGAAAAATGGATATGATGAAATGAAACGGAGAAAAGAATAAATTCGCCATGACAGGCTGATAAGGATTCCGTTTTTCCTTTTTGAGCTATGAAACCTTAAAAGCGAACGTAGAAGTATGAATGCTTTTGATTGATGTGCGTATTTTTTTTTTCTATAGGTACAGTAATTTTTATGGACGATCAAATTTTCAATCCTAGCGAATTTTCTATTGGGCGCGCTGAAAGGGTACTTTGAATGTAAATCCACGTAGTACAGATCGCTGTAAAAATGAGCAAACATGCATAGTAAATGCTCTGCAAATATACCCTGCTCTCTTTAGGTTTTACATGTTTTATGTGAGCGTATGTAATATAAAGTACTTCCCAAGAGGCCGCACCTTCGCGATCAATAACACACGTACTCGTATCACATTTCTTAAACCATCCAAAACACAAAATCAATTTTCGAATGAATCATAATTAACCAAGCGTAATTTTATCTGAAAGAAGAAACTTTTGTTGCCTTTCGTTGTGTCTGCTAGGGTAGGGTACCGACCTATTTTATTGGAACTTTCTATATTTATAGAAAAGTTTAAAAAATGTCACCTCAGTTAGCTGAAGTATAAAAAGCTGACCTGGTTCAAGATCAGTTTCATTAATACCTTTATCAACTTACCTCAAAATTAAAAGTTTTTTGGTGAAAGAAAACTCGTGAAATTCTTATAAAAAAAAAAAAACAACCAAGGGTTCTCTCTATCTACTGAAAGTTTCCCCGTAATGTTTCTGAAAGAATAATTTTCATAATTTTAGGTTTAACAGATTTGGAAATGAAGAGAGAAATGTTTTTAGTCACATTTCTCGTAAAATCTCGTTATCTCCCACGATAATAAAAAAAAAACATATTTGCATTATATTATTATCTGTAGGGATAGATATACAGGGGCAAAAGATTAGTATGCTTAGATTTGCAGATGATATAGAAGTATTAGCATCTAACAAGGAGGAATTATAGAGATAGCTTTAAATAAAATGAAAGCTGTATTGACTAAACATAACTGTATGAAAATAAATAAAAGTAAAACAAAAATACTGGTATGCAAGGGAAGAAAAAGTAGGGAAAGAGCGAATATAAAGATAGGAGATGAAAAATTAGAAGAAGTGGCCGATTTTAGGTATCTAGGAAGTCAGATAAGTTAGGACGGAAGGAGTAGTAGGGATATAAAGCCTATCCTCTGCTTTATATCCCTGCTACTCCTTCCGCAGGGTCGAGTCGCCTTCAATAAAAAGAAATCACTTCTATGGTCGCGAAGGGTTAATTTAGAAATTCGAAAAAGGTTGTTGAAGGTGTATGTTTGGAGCACGGCGCTGTACGGGTGTGAAACATGGACAGTGGGCGCGGCAGAAAAGAAAAGTTTAAAAGCGTTCGATATGTGGTGTTACAGCCGACTGATAAGGATACCGTGGATAGAGAAGGTTAGAAATTAAGAGGTATTAGAAAGAATAGGAGAACAAAAGACTCTATGGAAGTCAATAATAAATAGGCGAGATAGGTTGGTAGGACATCTTCTCAGGCATGAAGATCTAGTCAGAAACATATTAGAGGCAGAAACGGGAGTTAGGAGGACCGAGCGGCATGGCCTAGAGGTCTAGACCATTGCTTAGCATTCGGGAGGACGCTGGTTCGGTTCCGGGTCCGTTTGCCTTGGTGCAAGTTTTTCTGTGGTTTCCTTGGATCACTTAGGCAAATGATGGGGCAGTAATATTCCACAGATAATCTTTCACTCTTTTCTGTCTTCATTTCGTCCGTCTCATCTTTCTCACCCGAACCACCATCCACCCATTCCCACGATTCCTGAAAGCAGGCTGAAGGGGGCCTTCCGCCCTACCTTCCGGCATAGTCCGGAGGGACTGCCCGCCCACCAGCATTACTGGCTGGTGGGAATGAAACACCCAAAAGTTTTTTTTTTTGACTTAGGAGAGATAGAGGTAGACCTAGATTACTAATAATTAAGGGTGTGGGTTGTTCTAGCTTTAAGGAAATGCAAAGATTAGCTCAGTATAAAAAAGAGTGTCCAACCAATCTTAGGAATGACGACCTTATGATGATGATGATGATGATATTTGCAATAGAAAAGAAGACTGTGCGGAAAAAGAAGCAAGTTGTTACAGTCCCTTTTTGCCATAAATCTTTAATTCAGTTTGATTTTTTGATGAGTTCCAATAAAAAGCTCTGCTGAGTTGAAAACGTTGAAAATTGTGTTTATAGAAATGTAAATTGTGCAATTGAAATTTAACGTCTGGCTTCTGAAAATCTGTTAATAAATCATGTCGCCTAAGTAGCTATGTAACCATGGCATCTCGGCTATAATTTATCAGGTTAAATGAATAGCAAATAACTGAGATGCGCTACGCTCAATTTTATAAAATGAGGCCAAATTCATTAGTCAGTCTTTCCGTAAATTCCGTGAATGATGATCAAATTTCCTCGCAGAAACGTAAATTATCGACGTAGGTATATATGTACTTATATTTTCTCGAAAACCTTAAATCGAAATGTCGTTAAACAAACGGCGACTTACCGATGAATAATCTTTTTCGATTGCAAATAGTCCAGCGCAAGTCCAAGTTCACATACCATCAATTTTACCGCGTCTTCGGAAAAATCAACCTCTTGTTGTATATGGTAACGGAGATCTCCACCCAATAGTAAATCAGCCACCATAAAAAAGTCCTCTTCGTCTGGAAGAAAAATTATTTTGTTGCGTTATTTAAAAATAGGTAAACAGAAAATGCAAATTTAAAAGAATATTTAACCCTCTAAGTTAGTACTACTCAATAGGGTTTATTCACGTGGTAGTTAAAATATAATAAAGTGATTTAAAAATAAATAAGTAAATCAATGGTGGAAGTGGGGGTCATACAGAGTCCGTAAGTATTTTTGAGAGCCCCTCTTCATTAAAAATTTAAAACGAAAGTATGAAATTCCCGAATAATAATATTTTGAGAAATGATTAAAAATTACCCGAAATCTTTCCATCGATTTCCTAAAAATAAATATTCATCGAAACACAGATCGTCTTACATCATACGAATCCTGCCGAGCTGTTATCATTTAAAATTTAATCGGATTGAACCACTGTAAACTGTAAAGTGTGAAATTTTGTTCGTCCAAGTTTGAAGACTAGTTACAAAGGACTCGAGATTATCAATCATTTGTTTCGATTCCCCAAAAAATCAATAAACATGCACTGCAATTTTATAATAACTAATATTAATTTTGTAAAAAATACTGTTATTATTATTTGGTGTAGATGGGATACAGGGAGATATACTAAAACATACAGGACAAGAGATTAGAGATCGTATGTTTAAGCTAGTTAGTCACATTTATGAGACGGGGAAAGTCCCAGAGGATTATAAACGGAACGTGGCAATAATCATACCTAAAAAGAGAGACGCGGATAGGTGCGAGACATTTAGAACAATTAGCTTAACTTCCTATGCGCCAAAAATCTTAACTAGAATTGTATAGAGAAGGGTGGAAAAAAGGGCGGAAGAGCTATTAGGGGAAGATCAATTTTGGTTTAGAAGAAAGAGGAACGCGGGAGGTCATAGAAAAAAGAATGAGTGCGTACATAGGATTTGTAGATTTAGAAAAAAGTTTTTGACAATGTTAAATTGGACAAGATTTTTAATGTACTTAAAAATGTAGGGATGAGTTACAAAAATGGAAGAGTGATACTTGGTTTGTATAAAGAGCAACAGGCACTTATAGAGCTGGGGCTGCAACGTAGAGAAGTAAATATTAGGAAGAGAGTCAAACAGGGATAGCCACTGTCACCGCTACTTTTTAATCTAAATATCGAAGACGTAATCAACATCATTAAAGACAGTACAACTGCAGGGATAGATTTACAAAGTCATAAGATTAGTATGCTTAGATTTGCAGATGATGTAGCATCTAGCAAGGAAGAACTAGAACTAGAACTAAATAAAATGGAAGAGGTACTGACAAAACAGTACTGTATGAAAATAAATAAAAGTAAAACAAAAATACTGGTATGCAAGGGAAGAAAAAGTCGGGAAGGAGCGAATATAAAAATAGGAGACGAAAAATTAGAAGAAGTGGCCGATTTTAGGTATCTAGGAAGTCAGATAAGTTAGGACACATTCTCAAGCATGAAAGTGTAGTCAGAGACATATTAAAGGCAGAAACGGGAGTTAGGAGGGGTAGAGGTGGACCTAAATTAGATTACTATTCGCAAATAATTAGCGATGTGGGTTTTTCTAATTTTTGGGGAAATGCGAAGATTAACTCAAGATAGTAAAGAGTAGAGGTACGTGTCCAATCAGTCTTAGGACTGACGACCTTAAGATGGTGATGAAAAAGTATTGTAAATTGTCTACATTACACTAATTTAAACATTTCATCGTCATTAAACTGCTTAGTACTCCTGTACATTATGTTGTTTTAACAAGAAAAAAATATTAAATTTGGTTTCTTATGCTGTATCTTTTCTTCATTTCCTTATACTTATGCTGCAAACAGGAATTAGGCTTACCGTAATACAAAAGGCAAACCAGGATATGTATATCCTTTCCGGAGTAACATCTTACAGTTATCTTTTTCCTTTTATAATAGCGCATCATATTTTATTAACTATGTATGTAAATGTTTCCTTTTCCATAAAAGCCGCTTTAAGCTGCTTTTCGTCTCGTTCAACGTGGGGAGTATTGAAGTTCTTAGAATATTTTATGCTAGGTATTAAATTATTTCATCTACTTCGTCTTATATTTTCCATCCGACTTTTCCAGAAGAAAGATTTTGGTTTTGATTTAAACACTCGACAATCGTTTCCATCGGTCATTTCGGGGGATACTGAAAAATGTAACTTTAACTGCATGAATGAGTTGTGTATAATGATTGTTTCATCGCACAATACGGTACATTATAGTTGTTTAAAATACAATGTTCTAATCAAGGTTCTACCTACTAAACTTTTTTTTGATGTGCTATCGATGTGCTCTTTTAATCGTGTATTTAACGAACACCAGCTTTGACCTATGTAGCATCGTATTGATTAAAACTTATCGTTAGTTGATAGACTGCTTCGTTCTTTGTCTAGTTTCAGTTTATTAGTACAGTAAAAGTTCCTTATTCACGGTTTCCTTATTCGCGGGTGAAAAAATTGCAACCCAGTAGTTCCTGTATTCGCGGCTAAAAATTTCATTATTCGCGGATGCAATGGATAAACAGAAAAGGATTCGGTGTCATTTGTTAAGGGGATTGACCGCAATAGACCGCTCATCCCTAGTGTGAATTTTTCCGAAAACATGGGTTTCTATTCTAAATATTGTGATTTACCGCTGCGAGATAAATATGTAATTTTTTGTATGGTAGCAGACAAAAGTTCACACTAACTCGGTACGTTTTTGGTCTTCAATAACATGGTCATTAAAAGCTTTTACAAGTGCTTAAAGTTGATGCATCTTGTAGGACACGTATTTTCAATAGAAGTTAAAAAATTAAGAAATATCCTTCGACAAACTTTAGAACAAAGCTTTATCTATCTTACTACAAAATTCCAAACCTTTGTTCCAAATACTAAACTCATGATATCTAAAACCGATAAGCATGTTTTTACTCTACGGCGCGTGTTCTACTGAATCCCCTTAAAGTATGTACAGTTGACACGTGCCGAAGCGGCTTTTATAAAAGATGTAACCGAGTGGACTAATTTGAAAAATCAATACAAGAAAAAATCACTAAATTTTTTAAACTCTTGCCTAAAGCTGATTATAACGATTAATATTAATTGCGAATTTATCAATTCATTGATTTTATTTTGATACATATTGGTTTTATTTTGGAACCTTAGAACGTATCCCCCATGATTCCATACTATTTCTGTATTCGCGGCATATTTATGGAACGTATACCCCGCGAATAAAGAGCTTTTACTGTATTAAATAGTCATGCTTTTGGGTCATTTTTATGGATATGACATAAGACGGCAACAATTGTCAAATGTTTAAATAAATCCAGTTGAAATGCCCTTATTTATTTGCGTTTTCCCTATTAAGCTTTTCCGCCATCCGCCGTGTTTGCCTTATTTTTTATTTTACTTTAATGTAAAATTCATATCTTGATGAGGATTTATTTCAGTTTTAACCCAATGAGATAGTTGATTACGAAAAAACGTACTTAAAGATTAATGGCGTCCGATAAAGTAGAAAAACGGGGCTTATGATTCCTTTATTAGTGCGAAGGGACGTCCTTTTCCCTCCTTCTGTCTTGGAAGCTACGTAATTAAGTGGTTTCTTGTTTCTCATCCGTTGAGAGTCGTAATTTGTGCTTTTTATGTTTGCATCGTCCTATGAGCCTTGAAAGACTGTCGTCTGTTTCCCGTTTCACGTTGGCAGACGTGATACTTTTCTTGCGTACACAATTTGCGATTAATCTCATTATCCTTGCTTATCTCTGATATTTCCTTAAATAATTCGAATTCACTTAATGTTGTTTACGAGTAAACCAACGTAATTTAATAAAATACCAACAGAATATCCACAATAACATTAGTCAAATGCGAATTTGATCCGCTCTACAAATAACTTTTCGTAGTTTTATACGGCGAATAAGAAATGAAATGACAAGTTTTAAAATTAGTGTATATAAGACTTATTATTCCGTGTAAATCTTAGGTAAGGCGTTATTTTTCCTGCGTTATTATTTTAGATACAATAAGAAAGAAGAGGGTTGGGGTGCTTGCGCTATTTTCACATATTTTTTTGAATTACTTATTTAAATCATCTTCAAAGTTACTAACCAATTATTTATTATTATTATTGTAGTAATCGAGACAATTAAAACTGAAGTTCCCTTTTTAACACGAATTTTTCAAAAAATCGATCAAGATGTTAAATATACAAAAAAAATGTAGGGATGAATTACAAAGATAGAAGAGTGATACTTAGTTTGTATAAGGAGCAACAGGCAGTTATAGAGCTGGGGATGCAACGTAGAGAAGTAAATATTAGGAAGGGAGTCAGGCAGGGATGCACACTGTCACCGCTACTTTTTAATCTATACATCGAAGACGCCATCAACATCATTAAAGACAGTACAACTGTAGGGATAGACGTGCAAGGGCAAAAGATTAGTATGCTTAGAGGACCTAGAGATAGCTTTATATAAAATGGAAGCGGTATTGACAGATCAGTACTGTATGAAAATAAATAAAAGTAAAACTAAAATACTGATATGGGAAGAAAAAGTAGGTAAAGAGCGAATATAAAGATAGGAGACGAAAAATTAGAAGTGGCTGATTTTAGATACCTAGGAAGTCAGATAAGTGAGGATGGAAGGAGTAGTAGGGATATAAAGCAGAGGATAGGGCAGGGTCGTGTCGCCTTTAATAAAAAGAAGTCACTTCTATGCTCGCGAACGGTTAATTTAGAAATTCGAAAAAGGTTGTTAAAGGTGTATGTTTGGAGCACGGCGTTGTACGGGTGTGAAACATGGACAGTGGGAGCGGCGGAAAAGAAAAGGTTAGAAGCGTTCGAAATGTGGTGTTATAGGCGGATGATGAGGATATCGTGGGTAGAAAAGGTTAAAAATGAAGAGGTACTGGAAAGAATAGGAGAACAAACGACTCTATGGAAGTCAATAAAAAATAGGCGAGATAGGTTAGTAGGACACCTTCTCAGGCATGAAGGTCTAGTCAGAGACATATTAGAGGCAGAAACAGGAGTTAGGAGGGGTAGAGGTAGACCTAGATTAGATTACTGTTCGCAAATAGTTAAGGATGTGGGTTGTTCTAGTTTTAGGGAAATGCGAAGTTTAGCTCAGGATAGGAAAGAGTGGAGGTACGTGTCCAACCAGTCTTAGGACTGATATCCTTATGATGATGATGATGACGATCAAAAGTATTTAAAACCACTTTTATTTGATTATAAAATCACCAAAGGATACGTTAGAGGAGAGATTATAGATGAACCAATTAAAATATAATATGTGCTATCGATGTGCTCTTTTAATCGTATATTTAACGAACACCAGCTTTGACCTATGTAGCATCGTATTGGTTAAAACTTATCGTTAGTTGATAGACTGCTTCGTTCTTTGTCTAGTTTCAGTATATTAGTACAGTAAAAGTTCCACTTTTATTTGATTATAAAATCACCAAAGGATACGTTAGATAAGAGATGATAGATAAACCAATTAAAATATAAGTAGATATTTGTTTTTTTCAGTTAATACGTATGTAAAATTTTTACTCTTACTCCTAAAAAGACGTCGTTGAAATTCTTATTTGTAATTTTATCGAAACGATTGCTTTTTTTATCCCGTAGAAATTTACGGAAGCATAACTCCTTGGGGAAACTCAAAACTGAATTTTCCTCTTTTTATCATCTCCTTTCCCGCATTTTGTCGTGGGGTGAATAAGTTATCACTTATCGCGGTCGTAAGTAACTTTTATTTCAACATAAAATCAATTTTAAGCAGTATTAAAATAGGAGTTTTAACATAGCACCTACATCGACATAAACAGTCTCAAAAAAAGATAATCAAAATGAATCTAGACACTACCATAAAACATTCGATGTCTACAACCGAGAGATGCCTTATTAAGATCATTATTTTAATTTAATTAATATTACCACTAATTTAACCGTCCAAATTTGCACACAAGCTAATCAGGGAATTGCCTCTTACCATAAGCCGACTTAAACCCGTAGTGTATAGCTTTTGACACATGTCAATCGGGAAAACGTTTTCCACCATAACCTGACCTAAACCCTTGGTGCATCACAGCACTTCACACATGAATCAATAACTTCTAATGAGGGTATTTAACATATTAATTTAACATTGAAAGCAATGCTGTAACGAACAGGTATCCCTGGAATTCCGATTTGCAGGGACTTTTTAATTATCTGTGCCCTCCTGTCTACCTTCGTGAAACATCAGTCAATTTGTTTAATGGCCCCTATGGATTATTTATCTTTTCTTTTTGCCCGCCCACGAGTGGTTTAGATTAACCATAGGGGCATGAATTTGTACAGATAACAGAACGAACCCCGTGTGTTTGTATATTTGTTTGTTTGTTTGTGTATAAATACCTTGGAAAGAAAACCACAGATTTACGAGGAAGGGATGATCCAATGATGTGAGTATTTCAACTTCTCGTAGAACGTTTTTGAGCGCATCCCGTTCCATACATTGGTTTTTATTCACATACTTCATCGCGAACATTTGTTTCGTGTCCTTTTTTTGTACAATGCAAACCTGAAATTAAAAAATATCATCAATTAAACGAAATACAAAAGATCAAAACGGATTATCCAAAGGGAAATTGACGAATAATCTTAATTTCTTGTAAATATGAAACGGCAGAAAATCTTTATTAATGCTTGACTACTTCGATTTTTATTTCTAGAAATCGGAACCGAAGGGCTCCATGTTCTTTCAATGCACTTGAAGCACTTTTACAAACGATTTAATTGGTTTATACGTAATTGATAATTCCTTGGGTTTTAAAATGTAATTACGATTTCAAGGAATAAAGCACTTTAAGTAAGAGCTGTAGGCTTAGGGCTTGATGTATATAAGAATTACACCGAAAATGGTTTAATGCTTCTTTTGCTTTTTCAGTTAAATCAATTATGAGTTCTTGAATTTATCAATTTTCACTGTAGTTATCTTTGGTGCTAAAAGCTCGTACTTTATCTCATATAAAGTGAAGTACCTTCTGTATCATTATGAATTTTGATTTTGATTCGTTAATTACTTGGTTATTACCGTTAGTAAATAAATAATATATGCATACACATTATCCAGCAAGTGGGTCAAGTACCTAGCTACTCCTAAATAAAGTGCCAAGTAATAAATTTCTAAAGGATCATTCAGTGATTTAGCATTCGAAAGGCGAGTAGCTGATTTGCATACCCTCTCAACTGAAGTTGCAATTAGTAAATTGATTACTAGGTACTTCATTTTCTTCGACAATTCGACAATACCACTCAGCCATAACTTTTTTGCCTTATATATATATATTAACAGAATCCATACACATGCACTTAAATATATCCCACTGATTTGTAAAATTGAAAAGTTCTTTAACGTACGCAGTCTATAAGCGACCTTTTGGACTTTGACAAGGTCTCAAAGAAATAGATCCTGCGGGCCACAATCAATCTATTATCAAACGAAATTTTTTGATATTATAACGACAGAAATAATCTAAGGCGTTATGTTATGTGACATACAATGTTAGTTATGACTTACGTTCAATTTACTTAATAACCCTTAAGAACTATGTACCTTCTCGCCATTACTTTGGATTGATTCATATAGACTATGTTGTGACGCAAACACAATCTCTCAGTAATTTTACACTATAAGTAGTTAAGTACAAACATTTCTTGTAATATCGATAAATCAAATAAGGAAGACTAAAGTAATAAAACTGTTGATGTACTCCATAAAATTTATTGTTTTAGCTACTCATTTAATTAAATGTACCAACCATCTCATTTAGATAAATTTATGTTAAAAAAATTATAAAATAATTTAATTTTTTTTACAGGCAAACAATTGGCTACAGTTTAATCCTAAATCGTGGCTGGTAAGTTTTAGTAATTTATTTAAATTTTTATATATTTTACTACAATGCGAAACATACATAAATTATTTCGTACCAACATTTATTTCTTTTATTACATTTATGTATTTTGTTTTGGACCATTTCGGTAATATGTTTCGTATCTCATGTTTTATTTCACAACTGAAAAATACGTCGTACAGATGTGTCTACTGTACGACATATTATTTTCGCAAGTTTTACTTTTGGCCCTGTTCAGTGTGAATGACATTTTAGATAGCACATCTGTGACAGATGACAAGGTACATTATGTCTGATAAAACTCGATTTTGTGACGATATTTCTTCGCTATTCTATTATTCAGAATGAAAGATAATGTGTTTAAGTTTTTCTCTAGCTATTATTTGTCCCAAGGCAATACAAAGCGTAACTTTTATTTTTTGTTTGAACCATAATACTAAAAAAAAAATCTTTAGAAACAATAAATCTGGTCAATATTTAGATACCTTTCACGTTTTGGTCAATTATCTATTGAATTTTTGATAAATCGTTCCATTATAAGTTCAGCACGCTATTTGTAGTGGCCATCAAATTATCTGTCATAAATTATAGGTTTTTCTACGTTATTTCCACTTGTCTTTAGGAATGGATTTGAATTATGTAAACTGTACAAACTTCTAGTTACAAATCGAATAGCTTATAAAAGATTATTCATTATCATTGAAGCTGCTTGATTAAATGTTATTTTTTCATGAATAGAGACCCTCAAAAAAGGTTACGCGTGGAGCCACGAATATTCAAGATTTGTCAATTTAAATTTGTTTGATATAAAAGCACGGAGTATATAGTTGAGATTACGACGTATTTTGACGAAAATGAGCTTTTACGAAATCGAAGAAAATGATTCAAAATTTCAACTCCTTTTTAACCAATTTTTCAAAATTGGATGCCCCGCAATTTTGCTCATTACAGTGGTTCATTAATTAAGTGATACAAGCAATGCCCTTTGCATCGACATCACAATCTTTGATTTATTTATTCAGACTTTTACACGTGAACGAATTTATTTGCGGGGAGCCTTTTATGTGAGGGTTAACCATCGGGCGAATTGCGGCATTTCACCATTAAATAGCGGGTTTTCTTCCGAGGGGACAGTTTTTCTAGGATGAAATTTTTCGGAGTTTATTTTTCTGGGGATTCTTTTTCCTAAATTTGTTTCAACTGTCCCATGACCGTAACTAGCGTTTTACTTCAGTTATTTATTATTGTTGCCTTAATAAACAAATGTGTTTATCGTGTTAATTATAAATGAAAGCAGAACAACGTAATTGACAATCCAATTGGAATTGGAATAGGTAATAAATTAAATTAGATCGATTGATTGAATTTATGTTGTTTTCCGTTCTTGTCAATTTCCTGTTTGTTTCTCGAAATTGTGCTAAGAATACTAGCAATGCAATTAGTAGAGATGGCCTACAGGTAAATGGGAATTCTGACCCGACACGATGAGAGCTTATTTGAAACCCTGATGGAATAATCTGGGCCGTCCATATGCGGATAATGGCCCATTAAATATTAATTGGTGACCTTTTTAAAGGATTATTGGCATTTATCTGTGCAACTTTTCTCGTTGTATGTACGTCAAGTCCAATTTGCGTCAAAAGGACTTGTACGTTTTTCCATATCAATACCATTCATTTGTAAAGGATTGAGTTGACCGGCTTCGCAACTGTGCATACTCGAAATAGAAAGAGATAGATGTTGTCTTTTTATTTTCTGTCTTATTCTACTTAGACGCGCATTTCCGGTGAGCTTGTCTATTCTACTAATTGTATTATCCTTATGGTATATAAGGTAAAAGACCCAGTTATTGACACTGGCCCAGTTTCTGACAATTTTAGATTTATGTTGAATTAAAAAAAAAAGATCTTAAGTGGGTTAATAAATTTTTTAAAAATTAAAATAAATTTATTCTGTACCTAATTAATGACAAGCACAATAATAAAAAATAAGAAAACTTAATAAAAAACAATCTTTAAGTGTGGAGTGACTGCGGAAGCCATTTTTTAGTTATGGTCTAAGCAAATTACGGAAGCGCGTTCGACGATTCAATCAGTGAAATAATCATTATATAAGTATAAAAATATAATAAAATATATATAAATTGTTTAATAATGAACCATTATTTAGTCTAAAAAATCAATAAATCATATTAAATAAAGCTTTATTAATAAAATATAAGTGTCAATAACTAGGCTCAATTTTATAGGTATGTCGCAGTTATTGACACTCACATTATTACCTCTTACTCAGCAGGACATTTGTTTGTTGACATCCATAAAATGTTTCAAAATTTGTATTTATTATGATTATTATGATTTGATATACTATTTTCTGTAATTACAGCGATAAATATTCATTTAATATTTTTGTGAATAAACTAAACATTATATTCACTGTTATAAATAATTCTTTCAAATACGAAAATGATTGTTGTAAAAGAAATTTCATCTTTGTTAGTGTTAAAATGATTATTACTATGATAATTTTTACTTTCAATTGAATTATAAATTTTATTGATGATACAAATACATATTTTTGTTTGTTATTTTCAGGAGTTAATTATTTTTGTTAAAAATAACAATATCTTACTTATAATAAATATTTAATTTATCTTTAATGAATACTTAATTACTTACAGTTTATTTAAACTTGATAATACATAATTTAACCTAGAGAGAATCATTATCAAATATGAGTGTCAGAAACTAGGCCGATGGCAGTGTCAGAAACTACAGCACAAGAAATTTTAAGTGTCAGAAACTGGGTCTTCAAACATCACTTTTTAAATCATTAATTAAAATTACTAATTCGCTTCAAATAATTATATCGCGTATATGAGTTTTTCTAGAAACTCTGAACTTGTTTATAGTATAAAAATTATTTATTCTAATTAAATATTATTTTAGTTATCGTAATATAATCTCAGCTATCACTCTTAGAGTGTCAGAAACTGGCCCTTTTATCTTACTCATCGAAAAGATATTGTGAAATATTTTTGTGCATATTTTATATTGTGGAATATGTCAGTTTTAGTGCATAATTTCGCTCCTCATTTGTACGTTTTCGTAATCTACAAGTGTTCGTGTACGTATACACGTATGTTTTTGCATTCAACGCGTTCTTTTTATGAGTAGTAGACCGTAAAGAAGAATTTTTCCGCTCTCGTTGCTTTTGTTAATTTAAGCATCTGACGCAAGGAAGAGAGAGGTAGGTCTAGAAAAGATATCTTCACTTCTAACACGTTGTGACACGTTGGAAGTTTCAGGGAACGAGAAAAAACAACCACTACCTTATTTGTACAACCTTTGTAGACGTAGGAAAAATCGATCATGTTATCCTGAACTAACAAGGTGCAATGCTAACCATTCGTATCATGTCAGGACGAATCCTGTGACCGCAAGCTATATCCTCAGCTGTCAAAGAAAAAAAATTCAATATACACAGCTCCTTTTATTATTTTCTTTTATACAAAGTTGTCGGACTCTCGTCTTAATATGAAAAAATTTCTTAAACAACCGAACAAAAGGTAGAGTGACAACTAGTCAGTTAAAAAACAACTTGGGCGACGTACATATAAATCAAAATTTTTGTTATTCAACACTTGAATTCATTAGATTGGTTAGTTAGTTTCATTCTAGTAATGAGCAAATGGTAAAGGTCTAGATGATGGCCCCCACCCCCATTAGGGGTGGGTGGTATCGTAAGAGGGAGTCTCCCCCACCACTGTGCCATAAAAAGTTCGTGGCGATCTCACCCCCATAAAAAGTTATGGGGGTTAGATGATGGCCCCTCGCCCCGAAAGGGGTGGGTGTAGGGGGGATCGACAGAGGGTGGTCACCTGAGTAAAGCCCCATAAAAAATTTGCGATGGTCTGGCCCCCATAAAAAGTTATGGGGATTGAAAGTTGATCATTTTGACAATTTTCATACACTGTAATTCAAATAAAATTCAATAAAAAAAATATTTTCAAGCGGGTGGAGGTGGGGGATCGAAAGAGGGTGGTCACTTGAACAAAACCCGATAACCTAACCTAACCTAACCTACCCTATTGATAAAGATATTTAAATAATGTTTTATATAACTTTCTCAATATTTTTATGTATTTTTCCATTAGTTTTACCTTTGAATATTGTTTATGAATGACTATATAAATATTTACATGCCTAAAAATGTATCAAAATTGGCATTTTTATTAACTTTGAACCCCCAGAACTTTTTATGGGGGTGAGACCGCCACGAACTTTTTGTGGTACAGTGGTTGGGGAGACCTCCTCTTTCGATCGCCTCCACACCCACCCCTTTCGGGGGTTTGGGCTATCATCTAGACCTTTACCGGGCAAATTAAGATCAAAACCAAGGTAGTAATTAAACCGGCTCGTTATTCAATCGATTACACTGGAAGTAATCATTTTTCGTTTAGTCCTGCGTACTTGGCCTTGATCTTGCGTATTAAGTCTTGGTTTTAGTCTTAATCTTGTTCATTCGGTCTTACTCTTGATCTTGCTAGTACATATGACAGTTGTGCTTTTAGTCTCGCATTTTCGCAAAACTAAGACCAGTACTATAAGACTATAAGGCCAATTTTGCGCGTCACCGTTATTTTCTACATAAATGGTTGTAATTTTGGCTAGTTTACATTGATAATATCGATCTGATATATTTTCACTGTAGTTACAATCAGTTTTAGTGCTTATCAGAATTATTTGAATCAATGTCTCGATTAATCTAACAATATGAAATACATAAGGGTGGTGCAGTGCAACATCAAAGTAGTCAGTTTAGCGTTTATATTTTTTGTCGCTTATTTTAGAGTTTAAATATGTACTTAGCTACTGTACATTTCGTAAAGAAATTTAATTTTTAAAGTGCCTGCTCTCGTTCTTTGAGTTTCCTACATTTTAACGTGTTTACTACATTTTAACGGGAAATTGTTTCTACAAAGAGACATACATACAAACAAGCGAATTCACATATGTATATATATGTTACATTTAAAAAGGAACAAAGTATCCACCTAATTACTACGGTTTGGTTAAGCGAAGTGAAAAATTGCGGCTGTTTAATTTAATTTATTTAATTTTCGGAAATGAATGTTTACATTCTTTGATAGTTTGGAAATAAAAATGCAATTAATAAAACAATACTCATCACATGTGAAAACATGACGAAAATTGTATTTTTACATATTTTAATCAAATTATTTTGTTAGCTGAACTTTATTTGCATCTAAATAGGAAAAATTCGTTTCGCATGGTATCATAATGATACTCAATCAAATTCCTTCTAAAAAGTTTAGCGTTTCAACACTTCCGATGAGTGATACACAATTTTTAATCTGTAATTTTCACAATTATTACTCTCCTGGTAAATTGTTGTAGTAAACTGCGTCTTCTTCAGAAGTTACATAGCGTGTTAAAATATTACTTACTTTTCCAAAACTGCCTTTCCCAATTGCCCGTAGAATGTTGAAATGATCGAAATTAACTGTAAATAAAGAAATACACCTGTGAGAAAAACGTAGTCATTAGAAAATAACGGGAAATAATAAAAAATTGGGACACAAAAGATTGACAATATAAACAATCATCTATTTAAAAATTGAAAGATATTTTGCTCTTTTGTGATATTGCCGAATATGTTCATTTTTTATGCATTAGATAGTCAGGTGAAATTTGACCAATTTTTCGAGAGAATTTTCTCGGTCTCGCTCGTATAGATCATATACGTAACTGCCTTCATATTGTGATTTCCCGTATTTTGTGAGAATATGAGAAAAGTTCGTTTCTATGCTGAAGTATCCATTCAAATACTTTCACAAAACTTTTAATGGAGATCGTTCACAGAATGTACGAAAATTTGAAGTAAATAAATAAAGACTAATCATTATTTATTTATTAAAAAGTTATTTGAAATGCCCCTATGAAATTATTAGTAGAAGAACTTTTTCCTTAGCTCTGTAACCCGTACAGTGTTGTACCTAAATTTTATATATTCTCACACCAGGTATACAAATTATATCCCTGTACTAATTACGATATATGTATATTATTTAATCTTCGATTAATATTCAAATTAAACAACAACAACGAAATGCCCTACACAAACCGATATTGTAACAAAGTGTTCAGTTTCTTGATTAAGGTAATTTTCGGCTAGGACCTATCTCACCCTTAAGGACCACGCGTGGGAGGGAATATCGGCAACGTTTACTGTTCCTACATGGATGTCGTGGTAATACGTAATTCGAAATTGCTTGGTGGTTTCGTGACTGATTAAATAATCGTATTTTTTTTTATTCTTAAATCATCGTTAGTGTCATAATAATATACAATGAGAACAAAAAGTCTTGAACGAATTCTGTATCATTTACTATAATAAGCAAAGACATGAGACATTCTGATTGTTTATCTTTTAATTAAAGTTTCTGGGTAGAAACCTGAAATTTACAACGCTATATTATAATAACGAGCACGCTAAATTAATTGACTAATAAATTTAAAATAATAAAGTCTACGTAATGTTGTAAGAGCAATTGAAAGTTCTTTTAATTTTAGCTTTAGTTTCTCGAAAACGTTATTTTTATTTACGAAATCTAAATCTACCCCTCTTTATTCTTGTTAGTGCTTCTAACTAGTCTTTCAGATGGTCTATCGCCTCCTCTTAAGTTCATTACATATCAATAATATTCAATACACATAGGTATAATATATACTCGAACGTATTCAATACCTATAACAGGATAATTGTACCTTAGAAGTCTTTATATGGAAAAATGCTACTTTAAGCGACCATATCCTAAAAAGATGAGATTTTACGATTTAGCCCCCATTGAAACTTTTGATCTAATACACGTCGAAAACCATTACACTCCAGTGTTTTAATGAGTTTGACGGAGGTCATTTTTCGTAAGGATCTAGCGGGGTCCTTTTCATATTAGCTCTAATCCTATGTACACCTTCATCATCATCATCATCATAAGGTAGTCAGTCCTAAGACTGGTTGAAAACGCAGCTCCACTCTTTCCTATCCTGAACTAATCTTCGCATTTCCCTAAAACCAGAACAACCCACATCCTTAACTATTTGCGAACAGTAATCTAATCTAGGTCTACCTCTACCCCTCCTAACTCCCGTTTATACTTCTAATATGTCTCTGACTAAATCTTCATGCCTAAGAAGATGCCCTACTAACCTATCTCGCCTATTTCTTATTGGCTTCCATGGAGTCCTTTGTTCTCCTATTCTTTCTAATCCTCATTATTTTTAGCCTTCTCTATCCACGGTATCCTCATCATTTGCCTGTAACACCACATTTCGAACGCTTCTAACCTTTTCTTTTCCACCGCACCCACTGTCCATGTTTCGCACCCGTACAGCGCCGTGCTCCAAACATACACCTTTAACGATCTTTTTCGAATTTCTAAATTAACCGTTCGCGAGCTTAGAAGTGACTTCTTTTTATTGAAGGCGACACGACCCTGCGCTATCCTCTGCTTTATATCCTTACTACTCCTTCCGTCCTGACTTATCTAACTTCCTAGATACCTAAAATCGGCCACTTCTTTTAATTTTTCGTCTCCTATCTTTATATTCACTCTTTCCCTACTTTTTCTTGCTTTGCATACCAGTATTTTTGTTTTACTTTTATTTATTTTCATACAATACTGTTTTGTCAGTACCGCTTTCATTTTATTTAAAACTATCTCTAACTCCTCCTTGTTAAATGCTAATACTGCTATATCATCTGCAAATATAAGCATACTTATCTTTTGTCCCTGTATATCTATCCCTACATGTGCATCCATGTCTAACTCCCCTCTAATGTCTACTTCCGTACGTTGCAGACCCAGCTCTGTAACTGCCTGTTGCTCTTTATACAAACTAAATATCACTTTTCTATCATACACCGATATTTTTGATTCCTTACTCTACTGATAAAACTTCTTCCTTATTATTATTTAAGGTTGCCTTATTGTAACTACCCCCTGTAGGTATAACATTACATACATATTTGTGGCGGTTTTGGTGTCGTCATAAAGCAAAATGGATTTTTCTTTTTTTGATATTCCAAAGTAAATACCTAAAGCCTTTCTGTGTCGTATTCGTGCCTCTTTATAAACAGGGACTAGATAGAAACCGGAAATTACTAACTAAAATATTCAAAGGATTCGCTTTTCTCCTCTTTTAAGCTCTGATGAGCCGCTATTCACAGCTGTTTAAATATAATTTCAGCCACATTAATTGCAACGGTAAAACTTCCTCTTTGAACTGTTCCCTGTGTTTCCCAAATAATAAAGGAAATTTCGGAAACACGCCGTCTTAACTGATGAATAGGACAAGAGCGCCGGATAATCAATTGAATTAATAACTTACGTAGTTATTTATTAGAATGAGTAATAGAGTCCCTTTTTATTTTTTAAATTTTCTAATGTTCTCTAAAAATGTCAACTCACTGAAAAATCAATTATTGGAACAGTGATTTTGATCTTTAATTTCCTACACAAACTTTAATACCTTGGGTTAAGCTTAACAATAAGGAAAGTGCAAATTAAAAAAAAATGTGATTTGAAATTTTAGTAACCCCATTGTACTCTCGAGAATGGCCGAGAAAATTTCCAATTATAATTTTAATTTTTGACTTTCCACAGCTCTATTGAGAGCTATTTGATACTAAAAAATTAAAATATAAAAATTACAAAAGTTTTAAGTTTCTAACCGCTGTATCATCCCGAGGTTTGTTCTGACGCGGAAATAGAAAATGCTTGATAACATCTTTAAAGTTTCAAAAGCAAACTTTACTTGATCTCCATCAGCGTTCATATTAAGCCCTTGTTTCTTCTTTAAGGATTCAAGAGAGCTATTCTCATCATTCAAGTTTCATTAGTGTTATACCTTTACAATATCATTGAATGTATAGATGGGAAGGTACCTATATCTGTGGAGAATAATTTGCTAAAACTTCTTCACCATTAACCCCGTTTGTTTTCATTTTGCTGTAGTTAATTAAAATCCTTGAATCACTCTTTGTATATTCAAAATGGATTTAAGCGTCAATGTTTACTTTGAAGACGATATTTCTGGAGAAGAAAATTACCATTTTGTCTTATAATAATGCCAGCAAAAGCGGAACATCTCTGTTGTTGATGCACAATCGTGACGAAAATTGTCTGCCATTGTATAGATACTACATGTATCTGTCGAAAAATTTTAATAAGTAGGCAGGTACAATGTTATAGGGCCAATTTTTATTATTGTCTAAGGGCAATTTGAATGTCAAATTAGGGCCATTCGAAAATGGACTCGTTAAAAGTTTAACCATAGGATTAACGAGCCCGAAGACGTAGATTACAGTGTCAATAGTCATTACTCATTAGTCTACTTCAATGGAGCAATGCCCAAATTACAGATTCTAATTTAATTTTATATTAACTGTTATTTTAAGTTCAAAATTTGTGTGCATTATATGCACGATAGGTACATTGTCTTACTTATTTTTATAACTGTGATTTAAAATATCGTCCCTTCCAAGAAACATTAAATAAACGGATAATAAAAAATTATGCCATTCAGGGAGACGAAAGGTAGATAAAATTTTACGATCAAAATGGCGTAGTAGCTTACAATAATTGTAAAAGTACCGCTTCGCAATAAAATTTCTCAAATCAAAACTATACTCGGAAAGAACCATTATTTCTAGACAAATAAATATTATATATAAAAGAAATTATGAGGGCTGTCAGCACAGGGCAAAGTAATATTACGGCAATTTCTTATGCCGAAGTGTATGTATTGCAATACCTATTTGCAAACAATTCCTTTAAATCATTAATTACTATGCATCTATTAAAAAACCATAATGGCCGACTAGGTGACAATGCGACAACAATTGAAAAAGAATGATGGCTGACAACAGCAACAATTAGAAAAAAATGATGGCCGACACTACGTCATAGTGGAGCAATAAAAATGGCCGACTATTGACAATACGAAGAAACTTAGAACTAAAGTCTATTTTTAATTAACGTATAATAAACAATCATGATGGATAATGATATAAACATTCACTTGATTTTCCGTTACATTCCTTATTGTTATGGGCACCTTGCATTCGGCAAAAAAGCTCCTAATCTGACCTAATTTACCCCCAAATTACAGATACAGCGAAACTCAAAGATTTTCCATTTTAATACATANATATAATATGAGTGAGATTTACATATTATTGAATTAAATTTTACAAATTCGCCTCGTACATTTGAAAAAGTACATTAATCGAAAGTTAAACTAAAAAATACTGATTTCTTTTTACACCAGTAATACCTATCTCAAATAATTTTCCGACTAAAAATAAATGAACATTATTTCGATGGATGATTATACAATATTTATCCAATACTAATGATCACCATCACGCAGATTCTAATCGTAAATCAATTTTGCGCACAATAAAGCAGAGAAAAAGAAAAGGTTCCAATTATTTGTTTCTTCCTTTAAAATTCTCTTTTCTAAACGGTTCCTACAATGAAAAACAATTTCAATTTTATTAACGAAGCGAAACTGTATGAAATAGTTTATACCTGGTTTAACTTCTTAATCAGCAATTAAAAAACATGGAAACTGTACGCAGTCTTTATAGTTCCCTAACTGAATTTCTACATGCGTATTACTACTTTCTGGAGATACATTAAAAAAGATTGAATGTTTTTTACCTTCTTCTCCGGGAAAGAAAGCTTTTTCTCCTCGTCCGGATTGATGTGCCCCCATGTTTTCTTTTCACTTGCTGCCTTACATCATAATCGACCGATGATGTGGCATTTTAGTCCGACTTCCATTTGCTAAACCTTAAAAATAAAAATCAACTGTCAGCATGACAAAGAACAGAAGAAACAGATTTTTATTCATAAATGATCGTGGAACTTTCCTGAGACGGGATTAAAAATTGTATTAAAGATGAAGAAATGTGATAAATTCCCTGTCACCTTGTGTATCCAAATGAACAATAAAATTTATTGAAAAATTACAAAATCGAATGCTTATCAAAATAAAATTTAGGAGGGTTTCGCACCCTATAAATAACCCTCAGACCCGCTGACAAACTACCTCATAGACATATTGCTACCTTAAATGACTCATGGAGTTATAATACAAAAAATTATTGTGGAACAAAAGCAAGTTACCCTGAAAAATAATATTTTAAAATTGGAGGATTTCCCACCCTATAAATAACCCTCAGACCCGCTGACAAATTATCTCATAAGCATAATTTTACTTTAAATGACTCTAAGTGCTTAGGTAAACCCCACCAAAATGGTTTGAATACCCGACTAAAATAAGTACAGTAATTATTGTAAGTGCAAAGTTTGAATTAAGTTTCAACTTTTGAAATTACTAAACGTATGATTATGCCGTACAATTAATTAAAACTTTCCCGGACTGTCGGTTACTTTAATTAACCTGTACAATTCGTAGGATGGTATAATCGCTTTGGTTATTATCAACTGTAAAGTTTGATCTTGTAAACAACCCTGTTTATGTCAATGTCTGCTGCAGTTAATTTCCTTCGGTGATTCTGTTTGTGCTTGAATTTTTTTTTTAATTATTATAACGTTAACAACACTAACTAATCCAGCATTTACTTTACCGTATTTAAGTCCTTTTTCGCCAGTATAAATTTGCGTTTAAATACAAATATCAAAAGTTTTTATTTTCCTTTTGGATTATTCTTTGGTTGTTGTACAAAACGAATGAAAACCACAACGCCGTCTAAATCTAAATAGAAATTTTGTTATACAATCACATAAGCGGTAGGTACGTGTTATACGTTGTATGTAACAATATAATTAGTGAATTGAATTAGACTTATCCTTGTTCCTCGCTGCATACCGTTACACATGTAGTTTTTATCCTTTACCAAATTTACGCTTGGTTGAATTTGTAACTTTTTGCACATTCAACTACAAAAGATTCGGTCGTTTCATCTGTAATTATATATTCAGATAGTGAACATCCTTTTCGGTCTAGCTAATTAAGAATTCGCAGAACCAGACCATTTCGACAAAAACTTTTCTGTTTGTACGAAAACCGAAACAGAATTCGAATGGATACCTAATTTGGGTTTAAACTAAATTGTACAACGTTTTTGTTGCAATTATCCTCTAACTTATCTTTGCTAATCCTATTTTATTCGCAAAAAAAATGGGAGCAATGATAATAATAATATAAAGGATTAGAAATGACAATCAGACTTCTATTTGGCCTCACCTACAACTTTTTTCAAGAATAAAGGGAAACAACAGAAATGTTTTAAAATATAAATAACTTTTAACCCTTTTTGGCTATGATTTTACGTTGATTATAAACAGGGAGAATGGAAAGGTATTCCAATGAAATCTATAAAACGAGCTTGTTGCTTTCTTTTATTTTCAAATTAAATTTGCAATTTCATAAACATCGCGCCTTAGAAAAATAAATTACAAGATCAAATAAAATTAGAGATACAGTTACAGAGAAACATTTGTCATCATCATAAGGTCGTCACACCTAAAACTAGAACATTTCACATCCTTATATATTTGCGAACAGTAATCTAATCTAGATCTACCTCTACTCCTTTTAACTCCTGTATCTGTATCTGCCTCTAAAATGTCTTTGACTAAACCTACATGCCTGAGAAGGTGTCTTACCAACCTATCTCGTCTATTTTTTATTGACATTATCATTTTATTTAAAGCTATCTCTAACTCTTCCTTGCTAGATGCTAATACTGCTATATAATCTTTTGCCCCTCTATATCTATCCCTACAGTTGTAGTGTCTTTAATGATGTTGATCGCGTTTTCGATGTATAGATTAAAAAGTAGCGGTGACAGTGTGCATCCTTGTCTGACTTCCTTCCTGATATTTACTTCTTTACCTTCGATCTCTGTAACTTACCCCTACAATTTTTAAGTATATTTAACATCTTGTCCCATTTAACGTTGTCAAAAGTTTTTTTTTAAATCTACAAATCCTATGTACGCGCTCTTTCCTTTTTCTATCGTTTTCTCTGTTGTCATCCGTAAAGCTATTTATAATAAAATAAAAAACGGATGCCCTTGATACACCTCCCAACCGTTATCCAGTTTCAATTAGGAGCTTGAAACCTCAAAATGTTATTCCAGAAACCTCAAATTAATTACCCCGGTGGTTTCTAGAACGGAAATAACAATTGGCATCGCGCTGTTAGGGTAATGTTTCTGGATGAGATCGAAACTGAAATTCTAACACAAGTTAATTCGTTTACAAGAGACGTATGTATTATTGTAGCATTTCGACTATTAGCAGGTTTAATTTTACACATTACTTACTCATCGACTGTACGAATGAAATAGTAAATGCCTAGATGGAGTCTAAAACAGGTCAAAAAGAAATCTCATGATAAACCATTACTTCAATTGGAGTAATTGATTTTGCTTAAATATTTAGGTTTGTGTCACGTCAATAACCGATAGTCCTTTTAACTTGAGTTGCAGCTGACACGTAAATTGATCTCGTCGCTTCATGACCCTTTAGCAACTTGACCAGTTAATATTATTAAATTTCTCTTGGACACAAGCATCAATTTATTAGAAAGTCATCTCGCTGACAGGCTAATTCCATCAGAGAAGTAAAGTGGTCTATTATGGATCTGACAGCTTTAGATAGCACATTTACATGTAATAATGGATTAACACGAACTAATCCATCACATAATATTCATTGTAACTTGGCTTAGCTCTTGGCGAGAAAGCCTATGGGAAATTGTTAGAATAATAGTGATCATCATCATCATAATAGACTAGTTAAGGTTTTTCCTATCTTGATCCAGTAATCTAGGTCTACGTCTACCCCTTATAACTCCTGTTTCTGCTTCTAATATGTCTCTAATTAGCCCTCCTCTAATATGTTTCTTATTGATTTTTATATAATTTTAAGCATGTTTAAAATAAAAGCATGATTTATTACCAGATTCTTCTGTTGTTGATAATTTTATGACAATAAAAAATTATTATATTTTAATAGGAAATGCGCAAAATGAGTCCATAAACGATGCTCTACTTAGAAGTTCAAACGGACGACTCCGTTCTTCGCAAGCAAAATTTTTCTTTTTCTTTCCTCAAGACTGTTTTCCTGCTTCAGTCTTTTATCATGAAAACGTTTATGCAACGTTCACTTTAATAAGCAACGGGCTATTTTTATGAAAAAGAAAAGCAAATTGTATGTAAAGTGCTATTTTTCTGAAATAGAGGACTGCAGGTTGTTGTTCCTGTCCTATTTTAAAGAAATGCAATCTCACTTGAGAATTTCAGACAGGTAGAATTAATTAACGTTAATTTGTCATTATAACTAATGTAATCCCAAAGCCAGCCGGAATGACGAAAACAATTACAGACGAATTAAAATCTAAATACCAAGTTGGAACAACTTCTCAACGTGATTACAAGAGTAATAATCTATTTTAAGGGCGAGAGGGTTTGAAAGGAAAATTATAGCAAAGCAAATCTTTGAACCGCTAGTTAATTTTTTATGCAGATATTACGTACCAGAAGGTTCTGATTGAAGTTTTAATTAATAAACCCCATGATTTCCGAGTTTTTAAAAGTACTTGTGGAAAAAAAAAACTTTTTTTTCGCGTCTGTTGCACTTCCCATTTTAATTGAAGGCTTCATTATTTAATATATTTTAAAACAACAGATCTATGAGGTATTCCTGAACTTATAAAACCTGATAAAGTTGAAGTTAAAGAACCTTAAAACAATTTTAATATATCTGTTTTATGTTTCTATTTAGCTATCACAAAAAGAATGCAATTCTTTTATGGTAACACAAAGCAAAATTACATTTACATCAATTTTTGTTTTCTTTGCCAAACTTGACTGTTATTAAGCCTCTGAGAGAAAGGTCATGAACTTTATAAATTTCAAAAGGACCCTCTGCCTCACTCTTCAAATTTAATCTGACAAAGGTATTGTTCCTAACAACTTTGGTAGAATCCGATTGTGAGTTGTATTTAAATTACTTTCATTAACATTCAGCAAACTTTTACACAACCTGAATTAGTGATTAGATGTATTCTAAAAGTAGTTTTCGGAATCAAAATTAATGGAAATAGGTGCTTAAGAAGTTAAAAATCCTTCAGCTATACAGTTCAGTATTTTAAAATTATCTCTGTTTGAAGAATTTGTAAAATGTTCATAATTTGAATGTGTGTATGTATTGTCACATGCGTATAGGCAACTTAACATACATGACGACAAAGACGACCAGGTTTCTAGACGGTATATACTGGATCATTCTAGAATACAGCCAGTCTCTATAAATAATTGTCGTGAGATCTAGTTAGTATGAAGTAATTACCCAGCAAATGGGTCATGTATGTACATATATTGTTATTATGAATATATATACCTACACAGATGAAATTTATAGCTATGTACTAACCAAGAGCAAATATTCTATTACCTGGAGTGTCCACCCGAGTGCCATTGTCCCATGTATTTACACTATTAAAATTTGATTCTTATAGTAATTACGAATNACCCGAGTGCCATTGTCCCATGTAATTACACTATTAAAATTTGATTCTTATCGTAATTACGAATCCCTAGTGCAACTGTCTTACGTCCCCAACTTCACCCTCTCTGTTTACAATCAACGAAAAATCTACGCGAACCAATAGCGGGTAAAAAAGTTTTTACGGAGATTTTTCTGATAAGCAAACTTTTGTTAAATATTTATGCGTATAACATCGATGAGAATATTGACACTTTAATACATGCCTCGTGGGCTTGTGATGGACAATTAAAAGTAGAATGGAAAGAAAA